AAAAGCTAAGTATCTTTTGCAAGCATAGTGCCAATTCATTGCCCTGATGCACTAATCGCGCAGGCCAGTTCGCGAAATGATGTGCCCCTCACCGAGCCAGTCGATTTTCCAATGTTTCACTGCTGGTATTTTTAGTAGGCTGGATAGCGTCAACGCACATGCTAACCACGGCTCACATGTACGAAAACTCCCATTTTAGGTAACATAACGTTCAATATTGGACAACAGTAACAAAGTTGCAAGGGGCGTATTTTTGGGGAGGAACAGCACGAAATCTGTTCGTCACTGCAAGGAAAAACCTGGTTGCTCTTGAACACGTTCCCTGTATCCCCACCGTTTTGTCCACTTCAAAAGCGCACTCGACCCGGCAAATCTGACGAGTGACTGGTTATTATTCAACTGTTTCTGTATAGCGTTACCCTTCTGAAAAACTTCTAGTCGATTTCCAGTGGGGAATAGAGGGCAACTGATGCGGTAGGAGAAACAGTATCAGGTGTGGTAGATTCTCTAGCAGCACTACGGTCACTGAGGTACGTGGTTTTCTTGGTGTCTCAAGTTTTCGACTGTTATGAAGCCGACACCGACGTGATCTGCGGTTTAGTATGAGGCCCAACGCGAATCCGGTTGGGAACCAAAGATTTTCTCTCATAGAAATGCAGAATACCGCCACTAACCACCAAATGCTCGCACGATATGCGAGCCAGAGAACCAACGGATCAACCAGTGGACCGTACAATGGTGAAGTTGTCCTGCCCAATGCTTCTGCGGGCGTTCAGTCGAACGGATTGATTTATTATTATTATTATTATTATTACCAGCTGTAAGAACCACATACTCGTCGTACAGTGATTGTAGCTACCACAATTTCGTCCATCGATGATTTGTGAAGGCATTGCAAACGGGAGACGTAAATTGGTGCGTAAGTACAGGTCTGTCAGTGGACTTTTGAGTGGGGTTGGGTTGGGAAGGGAGCTGTGCATTAAAGGCAATAACTTGGATGCACGAGCGCCATTGAGGGCACGAATGAGCCATGTCTGACAATGTCGCCAACCATTGATGTGGCCCGTCTCAGAGTCCCCATCCAGGGAGACGGCAATGACCTAGCGCAGCTGAGTTTGTTAGTAATGGCATTTACACCACGCTGCCAAGTCATTGACCACCCCTGGTTCGTTTCCACCCCTCGCGTAGTTCCCCAAAAAGAACCCTTCGAGGAATTCGGTCGACTGGCCTACGGAGCACGTGGCCAAACCATCGCAACCTACGCAGCGTGACCATTTCACCTAGCGTAGGCGAGTCATTTCTTCCGAATACCATTCGACGTACTTCAGCACTGCTCATACGGTGTTCCCGCCAGACTCCGGCAACGCTTCGAAGACATCGACGGTCAAACATCGGAAATCTTTTGACACCGTTGGTAAGCAGCGGCCACGTTTCTGACTCGTGTAGCAGTATGGATCGCATCACAGCATTGTTAACTCGCCTTTTGACGGACAAGTTGATATCATGCCTGAGCCGCAGGTGAGCATGTTCACATAGGCTGTTCTGAACTTCCCAATACGGATGGAAATATTAGCTTTCGCTAGACTACTGGAAATGATGCAACAGCCCAGGTACACAAACCCGTCTGCCACTTCAAGTGGCTTATCCGCAAGCATTAGGCTAGGGTTCGACCCTACCCAGTCTTGCAGCAGCACTTAAGACTTTGCAGGTGTGAAGCGCATACCGAACCTTGAGACAGAATTATTTAGATTTAGCAAAATACACTATTTTCAAACATTGATTTGCAGCACATTCAGTTGCCTGGAATCACCACAAACGGGAGATTCAGTTGGGTTCCAGGTGAGTCTCTCTCGAAAAAAAATAGTTTGTAAATGAGTGTATTTCGCTAATTTTGTGCAATTTGGTTTCAAGTAGAACATACGGGTGACGGAAACTCGAGGACTGCACCTGCCTGATGAGCCTTAAGAAGGGCGAAACCGGTCGTGGGCTGTCGACGAATTTTCAGCAACCTTATGAGTAGTACATTACAAAATATTTAGATTTGATATTATTGCATCACCACGAGGTCAGATCCAAGAAGGGCTATGTCGTCTGCGTACTCCATATCTGTGAGCGGGAGAACCTCGACCCCACAGGTGTTAGAGACTGGCAGTGAGTTTTTCATAATTGTATCAATGATGAAGAGAAATGGTGAGAGAGGACAGCCCTGTCTGACACCACGTGATGTGATGAACCCAAGGGAGAGCTTCACGTAAACCTTCACGGCCGTGGCAGTTGACATGCAACGCTTAAGGAGGGTCAAGAATTTATGGGGGACACGTTTGCTCCACAGACACTGCATAGTGCCTGACGATCCACAGAGTCAAACTCAGCTTTCAGATCAAGAAACAAAAACACTGTTGGGTGCTGGAAGCAGTGTCGCCGTTCAGAATCTGTTAGAGGACGAAGATGTGCTAGATGCAACCTCTTGCAGGACAGAATTCAACTTGGTTTACGCGGATCTGCTTCCCCCTGTGTTCAGTCAGTCAACTGTCGAAAGATATGATCAGAGAGGACCTTCTATTGCACATCTACCAGGCTGATGCCACGGTGTTTTTCACACAGCGTTCGCGTGCCCTTTGTGACGAAAGGAATAACTGTCGACATGCCCCATTCTGCAGGCACCTACTCTTCGTTCCATATAACACCAATCAGATTTGACACCCGGGTCACCAGGGATTCTCTGCCTTCTTTGAAAAGGGCTGAATATAGACCGTCCGGTCCTGCTGCCTTGTCACATTTCAGTACAGATATTTCGTACTTTATCTCTTCTTCCAACGGGCAATTGTTTACATTCCGTTCGCCCGTATGAACTGTCTCCACAGTCTGGGTTGCAGGAGGCCAGCTACACTGTCGTTCGAAGTGTTCGGTCCATCTTTCCAGTCGACGTTTTTGCGAGCGAATTGATGAGCCGCTTACGTTTCACTGACCGATGCTCTCCTAGAGCCAGTCAGTCGTATGAGGGCACGGCTGTTTCCCGTAGCAAAGGCCTTCTCCATCTCCGGAGTTTTCGACGCCCACCAGAGCTCTCAGTGTTTCCTTAGGCTCTTCACTGTTTGGCTTTTCAGGGATTTGCGCGCGCCGTCGTACTCGTTGCCTTCTGGTATGGATTTTATGGCATCAATCATGGGTAGCGATCTCGACGGCATCCAGTGGTCCTGTTGTCGAACCGGAGAGGTCGGAAAGACAACAATGAGCATCGCTAACATAGCTCCCTTCACATTTTACCCGCTTCATCCACATGCTCACTACCACCACAGTATTAGTTTACTGCGGAGAGTTGTTGGGCTAGCTCAGAGCTATGGTTGTTTTTCGAAGAAGGTGCATTGTCATGCTCCTTGCTGACTTGCGAGGGTCTGAGGGAAAACGGACTGTCAGGTGCGCACGCATCATGACGTGATCGGAATTAAGTTATGTGCCCCAAAACGATCGACAGTCTTGAATTGTAGCTCTTCACGGGTGGCTGATAGCCACGTAATCCAACTGGGTCCAGGGTTGAGTTGCAGTTAATGGCCGCCAGGTCAAGCGACGTGGATAAAACACTAGGACATTCAACTGCCATCATCGTGAAGAAGTACGGCAATATCCGAAAGCACATCTGTACTGACGAGTGAATATCCATCAACACTATACAAGACAACCGTCTCCGTGACACCTCATATGGATCTATCGGCAGAACAATTCCATATTCGTATGCTGGAGATGGATGAAACCGACTTCGGTCAGGCCAACCGGATATTCCCCTACGAGGTGACACCACAATCGGGGACAATTTTAGTGACATGTCGCTCTTTCTCTCTCCGGCCACCAAGAAACAAAATCCAAAAATTAGGGAGGAAACATCGCAGCCGAACTACCCTGTCATTCACTTAGGTTCGCGAGTTGAATAACACGTTAAACAGTGGGATTCATGCGCATTACCAAGAAAATATCCATTCAATTTGGTGCAATCCTCACTAAATATGGTTTGTAATTTCACCGCGACCACGCGCATGGCAAGATTTGTTAGACAATACCCTGTTTACTATATGTGTCGGATGTAATGAAATCAAAACAAAGAATGGAAGGCAACGTGTGATAATTCCAGTACGCAACTAACACCATCATGTTTGCTCCATTATTTTGTGGTGCCGTTCTCACCCAAGTTCACACAGGTGGCGCAAAACCACTCGTTCATGATAGCTTAGAGGAAATGGACTGTCGGCAACCGCATAGATTTGCCATATTGTATTGATGTGTATCTCATCCACAGATATCCAGTATCTTACTCACACTCCAGATCAAGCGGAATATGGCATCATATCCACAAACCACCCTGGCTTCAAGAGCGTTCCATTATCACGTTGCAGAAAATTTGACGTCAGTTGATATAAGTCACCCTCGAAAGAGGACATACGTCCGTCGAAAAAAATTTCGTATCCATTGACCGTTAAGCAGTGTACAACCACTGTATAATATCGGTAGATGCCACAAACTAGATCCTTCAGAATTAGGACGTCCAAGCACGTTTAACGTGAAAGGCGTACGATGCTAAACCCGGATAGTCACGCATACCAGACAATCGAGGGACGGAAAACCTTCTGAAGAAGGCAGCGTCCCAAATTTGGTTACCGACACACTTCAAACCTCCTTACAGGTAATTTTGGAGGACGTAACATTACGGCAGATGTGAGGTCAGACTCAGTCATGCTGCAGTTGACACTGCAACCCTCCTAAGCAAGATAGCAACATCACTGTTGACAAATAAAAAGATCCACTTGGAAAACCTGAAATCGAAGGAGAAGATGGACAAGCAAAAGACTCTACAACCCCAGCAAAGTTAGTACGAGCCACCGAGTGACATTGATACACTGAAGGTGCACTTGTCAAGAAGTCTGCACACGTCATGCAGACAAATCATTAAAAGGCGACAGAACCCAACAAAATTGACACAACTCCAGATGGTTGTGGCTAGTACTCACGGATTCACGCGGGTTCGGTGGAAGAGTGGGAATATGTGAGGAATGTGTGTCCCCACGAGGTTGAACACCATTAGGAACTCTCTCTTTCCCGCGGCTTGGGCCTGGCCCGGCACATCGCCCACCGGTTCCATGGGTTCCAGGAAGGGGACATGCACCATTGGGGATCTGGAGAGAAAATATCAAAAGCACATGATTGGTATACCGTTTCGAGTGTATCGAGCACTCGTACTGAACACAACGTACCATTCGTTTGGAGGAGTTGATTCGAACATCCCCGTTAGGATGGGTTTCGCCGACGATCAATACGGAGTCAGAATGGTCCAGTTCAACTTCGCGCTTACGCTGTGGAGTAGAAGAGGGAATAAACCATCATTAAAGACCATCTGGATATTTCGACATAGCAGAATTAGAATAGATAAACAACGAGTATACAGTTTCAGTAGAATTTATTCGTAAATTTGAGGCACTAATTACACTAAACTACAATTGCTGTGCTGGGGTGTTGCAAAGCTCATCGTCCATTGTGGACCCTTCACGTAGACAGCCAACAGACGGCAATGAAAACTGGAGGTTTGGTGGTTTCAAAGGTGAACATGATTCACGGCTTGATAGGAAATCGAAGCAAATTCCCATGACACGAGTAAAGAGTCATGTGCTTGAAATAGACGCGCCGATAACACATCCACACCAGCTGCAAATGATTATGTTGCCGGCATGTGGTTGGCCTGTATCCGCCGTGGCGCCAACTCGACCATAGGCGAGATGTGACGGGACATGACTGTTCGACTGGACCGGTAAGTAGATTTCTCTCTTGACCAATCAGATGCCGGTTGGGCTTCTTGACCGTAGCAGTACCTAATTGCGGGGCAGGATTTCGCCTAACATCACAAGACGGACGCGTTACAACTTATTTACAGCGTTGGACTCCAGAGGGCAACCGTTTATCGACGGTCATATTAGCGCACGTTGTAGAGGGCTTTTGGCAAGAACCCCGCAACCAGAATGATAGTTTCACATTAAATGAGCGGGCCCACCGACCACCAGATAGCTTCACCTGATGGACAATTCGTTCATCCGTGATTCTATGGTCAACAAAGACGTCTCCAGAAAACACCTACGGCATTTGACACACCACTTACTGTAACCGGTATGCATTAGGAAACACCACTCCACTCCAAGAATGCACTTATACAGCAACTCAAGGGTGGAGCGGCAACATTGAGTAGCAAACTGATTCGCCTACTAAATGGACAGAGGATGTGGAGGATATTTGGAAGAGCACAATGAGTGAGCAAGCCGCCAGATACGGGCGTACTTGTCACGCTATTTCGGCTTTCCCAAAATTGATGGTTCTACCGTTCAGCTAGCCGCAGTGGGACTTTGTCGAAAAATGACCACTGGTCAGTGGTCGGACACATGCTACACGATACGATCATCCGCTGATCCTTGTTGTGACTTCGACCCGCCAATGAACTCCGTTCAATCGATCAAGTCTTCAGCATACCTCTATATGAATCTCGATAGTTGCGCTGGAAGTCTGGGCCAAATGAAATGCTTGACAAAAGCTGCAATCCTACTCACCCGATCGGGATCTTCAGACAGCTGAAACACATCATTTTTACACCCAAATTACATCCCATCTAATGATATCTCGCACGCGCAATTTATCAAAAAAATGTATATCATTTGTAAAATATTAAACTTATGTCCGAGATATGAGATTCCTTCTAAGCCCTACTGGTGCTGCTGGATGAATTCCCAAAAGAATCGGTACGACACAAACGCTAGTTTTTCCTACCACAGATATTTACTTTCCGCCATCGACGGAATAAGAGAAATCATAGGGGTAACCGCGTACGAATTTTATTGGAGTAGGTTCGGAAACCCTTGAGAATATAAATGCATTAAGGCAATCGCACATGACGGGTCACTGTCGCAATTCCCAATCCATGTTAAAAGCCTAAGCGATAGAACATAAGCGAACACAGGCCACTACATTCGATTCTCGGTCATTTTCGAACGTTCTTTCGTTCTTCGGTGAATGATACCGAGGCAGCCGGAAGCAGCATCTTCCCGACTCACGACTGAGAACTTTCAAATTGAACTGCGACTGGCCTCGAGTTGGCGTATAGCTCGTATACCAGGAATTGTTCGCTTGCGCTGGTAGGCTTTGTATACCTTATTATGTCTGCTGTAGTCGGCCTCAGCTTACCGCAAAGTAATCTCGTAGAACAGTGTGGATGAGCAGTTCAATAGACCTACTGTAGTCCATTGTCTGAACCAATAGAATAGAAACGCATATCGATCAGCAGATAATGTAAACTCGTGATTTGTGCCCACCCATTGGCAGACGGACACAACGACTTGATGGATTTGAGAACCGTCGGTTTTCTGAATTACTGAACAGCATTGCTTGTGTTAAATGCTTCCAAGTGGATGTTGGCGAAATGGAACCCACCACGCCTAACGACAGACCACTCAATATCTTTGAGTTGGAAGATAATCTGTTGGACTGAATTTCGCGACAACGGGGGTCACGTGTCATGAACAAAGATCACCTTTCTTCCTATCGAGCAACTTTGATTGAGAAGAATTCGAAAGATGATAAAGGCCTCCCTATAATAAGGACTAATCCGATTGCTAGCATTCGATCCAGGTACCTGATGATGAAAAGTCCAAAAGCAATGGACTCGTTTCTGGATAACAAGCAAGCGTCAGTGCGAAAAAAGGTGGTAGGGTGTGCAACCTTGAGCCGTCGCAGACAAACCCAACAGCTAACTCAACAATGTAAAACGCGCGCTCCGGGCAACATCTGTAACACAGATACAGCAAAATCGGGACATACTTAACACTGGAAAAAGCACGGGACTATGAGCGAGAATCATACAGTGTGAAACTTTGTGTTTGTGTCACAGAATGAGCTAGGGGAATCATAATGGCAAGCCTGAAAGTTGCAAGTTTAGTAGTTCTGACAAAGTGAAAAGGAAGGTAAAAAGCTGAATTGAATGGGAAGACTCATCCAAATGAAACTAAAAAGTCCCAATCCACTTACCCAGTTCCTACAGTCAGATACTATGGTCTTACACTAGGTCGACTAAAAACCACACGTCGAGGACCACCTTCTAGTAACTAGGACACTTTGGGTGGGGATCTTAGATCAGTCTAAACGCAGTGAAAACGCAGCATATCACTGTAAGCGGTGAGTAATAACTGGGCATCCATTTAGTTAAGTGGTTGTGGGGCGAACCAAACGCGAAACAGTAGGTATGCCCAGATTGATCAGAATGCGGACTAATCGGGGTCAAGCTCTTGCAGCTCAGTATTTCTTGCCCAGCCATGAGAACACTCACGTGGCCTTGGATCATTCTGTTGTTCGTCTATACACTCAGTTATGGTAACTCCAGCTTGCTTCATTGTAGATTGCCTCAAGCTACTATGCGTTGTGATACGCCATAGTGGGGTGGGCGCAAACCAAGAATTGTGCGATCACAACAGCAAACTAGGTGATTTCGATGGGAAGCTTTAGTAGCGGTCTCGAAGAGCGGAATGATACGACTTCGACGGGGTTCTGAAATAGATCAAAACTATACAGAGGTTAGCACTCCAGTCCTGTCTATATTTTCCAGTGTCTTGTATGAGATCCACAGTTTCCAAACAGCGTACACCAGCACGCATCTACAATTAACTACATTTGCTCGAGGAGCTTCCGGTACCTACCTGTCAAAAGTGTTATGTGGAGGGGAACATAGTATAACAATTTTCAACTGTCCCCTATCATTGAAGGGTCGGATTTCACCACGAGACAGTTTCGGAAGTCCATCTTAGTGTCAGTATGAGAGGGCGCTCTACACCAACAGTGCGGGGGCTAACCAGCAAGAGACAAATCAGGAAGTGGACATAAAGGCCGCGCAGCCTGGCTGGGTCTGAGACTGAAGCACTGGACCTCCATGTGGTCTACAGTGTCAACCAGCATTTTAAAAAATTGGATGATGGGATTATACCTCATGGGTACCAGCGATTCGAGGTATTCCTAAAACCGAGCCTCCTTCGCCAAGAAGTAGCTTTCAGTTAAAGTATGTTTTTTTACAACCAGAGGTCTGGCTCTACATAAAAGGAAAACATTTGCTATTCTCCGACTATGACAGACTGATCTTTGTTGCCCTGCTCAGCAATAAAGAACATTTTTCTCCGACTCTATTTGGTGTGGACTGACTCATCACATCTCACATCACATTGCTGGCAAATCTTTAGGAGATTCGAACCCGCAACATTCCGGTGAGTAGTTAAGCAATATTTCATCCAGCTGTGACTGGATGACCAGCAGTGCAGTTAGCCTTAATATAAACAGGATGTAGCGCCTCCGCCTCTAAATGGGCGGGTTACGTCACTCTATTTGGTGTGGACTGACTCATCACATCTCACATCACATTGCTGGAACGGCTGTCTTTACAACGGCGAATTCTATGTGAAACACTAAAATGTGTTAACGCACGTTATCTCAACATGGATGCTCTAAGCCAGCACTACAGATAATGATGCTGGTCACTTACAAGCATGCCAACAGGGTCGAAAGATACATGTTACGTAGGAGATGTTGGATGATTGGTGTTCGCTTGAGTGCCGCCAGCAGAAGTGTCGAGTAACAATCGGCCTAGTCTCACGTGCTGTTTTGCTGACCCACATAAGTTATCGACTTTTTGCCGGAAAGGTTTTCGCAATGAAATAGTATAGGGGCTGTTTCTTAGAAAAGGATCAACAGCTTTGCGAGGAAAACCATCGGGTCTTTTTTTCCTCCAATTCGAGAAAAACGAAATGGTTTAAAAAACCACTGTCATCAAGGCTAGATTTCACTAGGTGGTAAAACGAGGGATGAAAACGGCATGGTTTCGGCGGCTGACTTTGCGACCTCTTGCGCCATTGCTCAAGCCTACAGAAAACTCTCAAGTCCTATGAACTTCCCCTGATCTCTATGCAAATGCACGAACGAAGAATGGAAGGACAGTGGAAGGCAAATCTGTGTTCTTTTGTACGAAACTTAAAAGCAAGAGTTCAGTAAAAGTAATCTTTTTCGAAAGCTTCTCATAATCAGAAGCCAGCAGGATCTGATGCAAAAGAATCAAACCATTTGGTTTTCAGGATTTCTGCTTCTAATATTTGAAGTCCCAGGTCCATGGCTACCTCACCCGCACCAGCCTCCTGTTAGTTAGGGGTAAAATTTTGCCTTGGGTTTGCAACAGATGCAATGATTACAGAATGGTCTCGATGAATGCATGATACTTATTATTACGGTCGTTCAGCCGCAACGCCCTTTCGGTTTATAGAAGCCATGCCACCCGGAAGAAACATAAGAGCTGAGATATTTCCGGGTCGCCTAAGTCTGGGCAGGTGTAGTCGAGATGCTGAGGTTGAGTTCCGGCCAAAGACCTTCCGGTCAGTAAGTTCGTGCCTTAACCATTGAGCCATCTCTGGAACCGTCGCAGAATTATATCAACCACAAATGCTCGTAGACGCATTTCTTACCCAAAGGACGTAATCTACGAACAAGAAATCGCTTACTAATGAAAGTGCGCACAGAATTCCGGACGAAACAAATTAAACGGTAAATTGATTAAGCCCAGTAAGGACAATGGAAAGTGAGAAAACGCTGGTGAAGGTTAGTGATGCAGTGGTATTATGTTAGAAAAACGGAAGCATTGTGCATCGCATCATGCCTGAGCTTGAAGCAGCTCAGTGGCGTATGGACCGGAAGGTCTGTGGTTCGAATCCGACCTCAGCATCTCGACTGCCCATGTATAGGCTTGGGCACCCTGGCAGTGCCCCAGACCTCGTGCCCCCTTCCGTTGGCATGGCGACTGGACACCGAAAAGGTGCTGTGGCTGAACGCTTATTACTTTATATTTATTAAAATGCTTGAACCGAGGAAATAAAAACGTGAAGGTTGCTACAATACCCCCGGTAAGTGTCACCAGAACAGTTCGACTGGAACCATAACAGAGTACACAGCTTGTCTATATCAGTCTAGTGTGCGCAAGTGCGGAAACGTCAAAAAATACCTTGATAACCGAAACATGGTTCCGACTGAAACATGAAGCGGCTTTTGTGCAGATTCGGTTGGAGAATATCATAAACGAGAGATTCACAAGAGTCCTTCTTTAAAAAACCTAATTTTTCACATGATTGTTTACCGCCAATTTGGTGTCCACCTAAGACGGAAGACTGAGGTAAACTCGCACGCTACATCTGCTCGATGAGTTTCAAGAAGGAAGTAACTGCAAGTGAGCGGTCAGGTTTTTCATCAGCTTGAGAAGTACAGTTGTGTTGAGAATAGCTTCAAGTATTCACTGAATATGTCAACGGCACGCAGTAGGGTTTGCTAAGTCTGCCATGGCGCTGAAAGTGGCTATCCACAACCAATGTCGAATAAACCAAGACAAACCAAGCGACTGTCAGCCATACAATGCCATGTGTGCGGTCTGGGTTTGACCACCACCAGTATACTCAAAGCAGACATCACAGTGGTCCGGTAGAAAAGTCTTGTGGGCGTTAACATGCTGTGAATTTATCCAGCGGTACAGTTTGTTGCGACATCCAAGAAGTGGATGTCAGCGGTTAGAAATCGCTCCTCAGGAGCTGTGCAGTCATAACCAGTGTGCCACATGAGAATCACAGAGACGTCCTAAAACACTTAGGGCAAGCGTGTAGCCACAAACGGAAGTAAAAACAAGAAAGCAAGGGAAGCTTTTTAACCTACCCTTCGCTTGGATTGTGTTACATCAGCGGTCAATTCCGGATGATCATGTGGACGGCGACGATTAGTTTTGGTATTGTGTTCCATAATAGGACAAAGAACAGACTAGATTGCGTGCCAGATTGTAGGCTGAAACAGAATCTACAGATGAATTGACCAGATAAGATACTGATGACTACTCAACGCTAGACCAAGGTAATTCAGTTGAGTAATTGGGTGGAACTGCAATTGGTGGTTTCATTTAACTCGAAATCTCGACATTGTTTTGATTGATCAAAATTCAAGGGGTCGAAAACGGATACAAGGAAATGCGTCAAACAGCACCAGCAAGGATGAGAGAAGGGCATACAAAAAGGTGGAAATGAACCGGAAGTTCGAACATTGAGATATGACGAGAAATATCGGCAGTTTTCAACCGCCTATTCCCCTAGGTTCCATCACAGACATCAACTGGAGTAAAAACAAGACAACGGAACCTTACTAACCAGCATCCACCGTAAGGTGATCCAGTACCAGTTGTGCAGAAACACCTGGCGATTGTACAGCTATCCAATTCCAAGTGTTATACCTCAGGTGCACGGATTTAAGCTAGACCGGAGGCCGTTTGACTTCATTTTAGTCGGAGGTGAATAACATATGTGGTGTCCTTACTTTAAGTAGCATCGTCTGCGAAGAGTCCCTCAAATGCTCGAAGAGGAGGACCACCATTATAGTTTTCAATGACGGATATCATTGCTCAGTGGTCTGCTCCTCTAAGATTATTTTGTGCTGGAATACCGAATGTAGACAGCTTGACCTATCAGGATGTGTAAATGGGTTCCATAATGATGTGCGTTGCGCCTGGATACATAATCCATGTAAGACCACCAATTGCACATTTACAAATAATCCCATGCTACACCGGCCGATGGGTGGTGCCATCAGCGGCACCAGTGCCATCAGTGGCAACACTGATGTTGCTGTCCTTGATGATGATGATGATGATGATGGTGCCATCAGCTGGATCACCTTGCATGTGCCTTCAGCACAGATGGTAAGCGAAAACAGTTTACTGCTGAAGCCGTTCTTCATCCTCTGTCATATATTCGCCCTTCTCTATCTCTTTGCTCCGATGTCAGCGGTATCTCTGTAGTCCCATGTTTGGGGACTGACAGATGTATTCACCGCCCATTGCTGCTAGCTATGATAACTACCGTTAACTCGGCTGCCACGACAGCAGACCTCAAAACCATTCTTCAAACCTTGATATATGGTTGAAGCATTCTCAATCAGGGCGAAATTCAGCCTGAATCTCACAGATCTGGGACTCTCGATAATCGATCAGCCAACACAAAACAATGCCAGAGAGGAACTTAGATCCGACGGATAACAGGCTGGTGCTACGATGGTTTTCGCATGACGTTCTTGCACTATGGTTACCAAACTGTTCACGAGGACCTCACCACCTTCCTTGAAGAGTGCCGGGTGAATATTATGTGAGACAAGTGTCTTATCGTGCTTGAGGATTGATATCTCACGCCTGACTTCTGTTGTTGATGGTCAGATGGTGTCGATGTTCCATTCAGACCCACTTGGATCTGCCGGCGGTTGTGTTGAAGTGTTCTTTGAAGTGTTTGGCCCATCGCTCAAGACGACGATTGGTGGAGTGAGTTGCCCTTTCGACTTTTCCCATACCATTTCTCTGATACCTGTCTTATTTTGACAGGTTGATAGAGTCAGTTGAAACAGGGCGCGGCTGTTGCCTGCAGCGGAAACCTTCTCCATCGAAATATCTTTGAAATCCACCGCAACAAACGGTTCTGAAAACGGACAGCACAACATTTTAACCCCGCTTCCATTCAATATCCGAGCAATTTCCGTCATCCACATAACTGTGCGTTTCTAATAGCCTTCTATCCCGATCAGCTCGATACTCTTCAGGTACTGAAACTTGTCGACGTTAATGAATGGAGCTGCTCTGCTTTGGGACGCGTCATGCCGAAGGAAAGCGAAGTGATAAACAGGCCCTCGCAATGGCATAATCGGAGTCAAGTTGTGTATCCCAGAAGGAACGACAATCTTGAATTGAGGCTCTCAAGCGGTGACTGATAACCACATGGTCCAACTGAGTCCATGGTTGTCTTGCGGTTGGTGATCTCCAAGTAACTCAGTGTGAGCGTGTATGTTGAATGTTCGTAGTGACCAGAAACAGATGGTGATTAGCAAGGAACTGGATCAGTCGCTCCCCATTACCGTACCTAACTGTGCTTCTTCCGCACTTAGTCATCGAAATTGGGCATTCATATCACCTGCTAAGACTACTATATCCGTCCTTCTTGGCGACTCAAGCAGTCCTGACAGATCTTGATAAAACTCGCCCTTCTCAGTCTCAGAACTGCAGTATATTGGGGCATATGCCGTTTACAGCATTGACCTTAATTGAGCCAGACAACCGCACACCGCAAAGACGACTATTTATGGGGATCCAGTCCAATAAAGCGCATTCAGCTTTGAGGTTGATTAAAACTCCCACACTGTAGATACCATGAGCCACTGCTTCCGGATCACCGGATATCCGAGGAGTAAAATTCGGAACATATGAGCTTGTCCGAAGCGGCATGGGTGCACGACCGAAGCGCTGTGTTGTATATTTGCTATGTTTTCTCAAGGCGCTCAATCGTTTATTGTAAAGCCACTTTTCCTCGTTTTAGCTCAGTGCCAAAGTTCTAAATGATAAAACCTAACTTCTGGGCCCTCGGTCTCTCCTCTTCTTACTCTGATTGTCACCCCGCTCGATTCATCGCCAAACACAACGATTTACTCGTCCAAAAAGTTTTATCCAACAATGGACCGATTCGGACTTCCTGGACGGTTCGATACCGACGGCAATACTCAAGACTCGACAGATGTCTGAGAGTACTGGCTTTGTGCTTTAGCGAATTTCCTTGACTATACTGCTTCTCATTCAGCGGATAAAGCGAAAACCTTGTTCAATTACGTAGCTCCTAGTGTTTACCGCTTCGTCGAAGACTGTAAGGACTACGAATCAGCTATTCCAAATTTGCAAGCAATTTACGTACAACCGAAAAATGATATGTGCCGGCATTTTTTGAATAATTGTAAAAAGGAAATCAAAACCTTGATCAATTTGGACAAAATCTTCGCAGTTTGTTTGCAGATTGCTGCTTTACGGCTATCAGTGCAAAACAACACAGCGACGAAGCATCACGAGACGCATTTGTTAGTGAACTTTATTCAAATATTATACGCCAGAGATTGTTGGAACACAAGTCGCTGGATTCTAAAACCGCTTACGATCACGCCTACGATCGTCGTCTCATGGCGGCACGCGAAGTCTCGACTCGTGAGAATCAAGCGGGATTTCAACCCGGTAGAGGCTGCGTTGACCACATCTTCACACTCCGTCAGGTGTTAGAGCAACGCCACATATACAGACGACCCACAATCCTGGTATTCCTTGACTTCAAGGGTGCGTTCGATTCTGTTGA